TGATCATAATATGTACGTAAGTATATTTTAGAAAGGATCCCTTTCATTTTTGGGAAAAATGTTGACCCCACCCCCTTGTTTGATTCTAGATCTGCATGATTCATATTCCCATTCATCTTATAAGTACCCCCTCACACCCACTTTGAAAAACGTTCCGCCGGCCCTGAATGACTAGGCACAGTTTTACCAAAGAGTATATAACAAATATCTATTTGGTTTTACGTACAACATGGTCTTTGAAAATATAAAAAGAGTAATATTGAGAAAAGGCCTACTGAATCTATGTAGGTCTAGGCCTAGATATGACATGTGCTGTAGCAATTGTATTATATAATAGGCCTAGTACTGGAAGTGCATCTTCGCGTTCAAGTTTATTCTCTTTATTGTTTCTTAAAATGTTTATTGAGCCTCTCAAAACTAATCTGAGCCTGTCGATAGTAATTCAATTTAATTTAGATTATCCTCAGGCTTTTGTTTTTTGTTTTTGTCTAACCAATACATAAATATCTAATCAACAAGGAAATTCAACTCAAGGCCTACACTGTTTAAATGCAAAAATACTAATTAATCAGTCTGTATGAGAATGAGATACGTGACGGTTGTATTTAACACAGTAGCTTCACAGAAAAATTGTACAACTTCCAAGTCAAAATATTAGATTCCTAATTATATTAACCAAATATGTTTTTGTTTACTATGAAAGTTTGTTAAGTTCATGATAATGTAATAAACAGACTGGATGTGCTGTACCAGTAAAAGACTGAATAACGTGATTATAATACCTGCATAATTCTGCAACTAATTACCTATACCAGAATGGCAGTAAAAGCATCATTTTAAGAATAAATTTAACTAAAGAAACACTATCCCACCCACTAAAATTTAACCTTTGCATGAGATCATAGTGGGGACTACAGAGAGGGCCATATAAGCAATAGCATGAAGCCCGACACCAAAAATAAAATAATGTCGGCCTAAGGTATAATCATATCAAAGAACCTTTGTTGCCTGTATGCCAATCTAATCTTGACTATAATATCTAAAAATATTAAAAGAGCCGCTTTTTAATCAATTATTGTTTCCGCTCAGTTCGCACAAAACCTTACTTTAATTTTCCTTTTATTTTTATTTAATCGAACACTAGGTGTCTCACGGTGGACAGAGCTGCTGAATGGTGCTGAGAGAGAGCAGCTTAGCTCAGTCGGCTAATCTGGTGGTAGTCAGTGTGTGCGCTGAATCATGGAGATCTCTAGGTCCCTGGTTCAAATTCCCATCGCTGCCTCTTCTTGTGTTTCAGCTAGAGGGCTGAAATACAAGTTACAATAGCGCACCGTCTTTCGGATGAGAAGTTTAAGCCGTTGGTTGGTACCGTGTGCATTTATGGCCCATGTGCACGATAAAGAACGCAGTACACTCTTCGGAAAAGAGTAGGGAATTGTCTCCCGGTGTACAGTCCAATCACCACCAGAAGGACCCCACTGAAAATAAGTCTTCTTCTAGACTTTCGTGGGCTATCCTGGTGTTTTTACCGAATAAATCCATTCTATTCCATTGCTGACACAGACTTGACATTACCGTAGCGCATGCGCAAAATATGCTTTATAAGGATGATTATGAATACGGTACTTCTCATGAGTTTTACCAAACTATGCCACGTCAAAAACTTTGCAAACAACGAGGTGGAAGTATTCGTATTAATGTTTATCAGTTTACCAAACTGATCTTAAATAGCGACCTCTATAATTTCTGCCTTAAGTTTATGCCATAGAGCTATTAAACAACTAGAGTGCTGACAAGATGGCGGAGCAATGCAGAGTTGTGTATGTGTACCATCCAAGATGGCTGCCGTAGGAAAGCGCCGCCTTCAGGCTTAGTATACATATTATTACCATAAATAACCCCTCTGACTGAATATTATTTCATTAATGATAATTAGTATTGATAATGACAAATTATTAAATTGTCGTAGCCAAAAAGAGGCCAGGTAGAGCATCTTATTCAAATATTTAAAACAAATTAAAATCGTGTACATTACACCCATACACCGCACGCTCGAGTTTCAAACATAGATGTACTGAACTTTCGGTGTAAATTGAGGGCGCCATTGAAAATGATAGTGCTCAGGCGAAATTTGATTCGCCGAATCTATGGCATCCATCTTGCATGGTACACACACACAGTTCTGCGTATTTCGAACATCGAATACATTGGGGTTAGCGCTCTAGTATTCTTATTATATCTCTATGGTTTATGCATAGAGATATAATAAGAATACTAGAGCGCTAACTGCAATGCATTCGATGTTCGAAATACGCAGAGCTGTGCGTGTGTACCATCCAAGATGGCTGCCATAGATTCAGCCAATCAAATTTCGCCTAAGCTCTATCATTTTCAATGGCGCCCTCAATTTACACAGAAAGTTCCGTATGAACATTTTCTAGGAGTTTAGTTTTCGGCTGATTTAATCTCAGGCTATCTCCATATCATAATCATCAATACTGTCAGAATGGATCACTGCCTACGAGCAGTGGCTGCATTACTCCTTTTCATTTTCAGGATCCAAAACAAAGTTATTCTGACTGCAGTTCCTATAATATGTAAAATTGTGGTCACGTACGTTTAAAAGCACACTTCCTAAACCCATTAAGACACAATTGCTCCCAGTGACTTTAACAAAATATTTTATTCTTTGTATTTCTTTAGACGCATCTTCACAAAAAATTACGTATAGTTTCTGAATGCAGTAAATTACTTACTATTCTGGTTTCCTGACCGAACTCTCGGCGCTTGATTCGAACCCCTTGTCGGCCTTGTTGGACCACCTGTCGGCAAATTTCCTAGACAATACTTTTAATATAACCGCATTATTCAAAGATCTGAGATCAACAGTGACGGCATCATATATTCTTCGATAAGGGGTCTAATGTCCACTACAGTGGGCTCGCGCCCAGTCTAAGCCCAAAGCGTAGTGGTTAGGAATAAGAATAAAGAAGGTTGGAAATGGGACTCTAAAGTCGGGCACACATTGCACTCTACTCGCCGGCCGACGAATCCATATCCACTCTTACTGACGCTGTCTGCTGATCCATTGACAGACTGAGCAGATTTGTCACTAAAAATTATCCTTTGCGCGAGCCTCGTCGTGTTCTTCGGGAAATAGAGTTGGCCAACACCCATCGGCGCACAGCATTTGGCCGTTTCGTACACCCGCCGTGAACCCTGAATCGCCGTGTCAACATTTATGTAGTTTCTCCGCATGCGTTAGACTTTTGCGTCGTAAACGCAGAGTGTGAAGAGGAACAAAGTGTATCCCTGGCTTACACAGGGCTTTCCGACGGGTGGTCCGTCACTCCACTTACACTACCACTGGTAATCCACGTTGTCTTATAAACGCTGATACACTGAGACGCTGATACACTGAGACGCTGATACACTGGGACGTTGATACGCTGAGACAAAGATGACGTCATTGAAATTCACCGCAAAGTCATAATGCACTGAGTGGAATCGAAAGTGCAGGGTTCTCAAGTACTACGGAACGTCCTTAGTTTAAATACAGAAATTCGGCCCAATTACGGACGTACGGAAATGTCGCGCCTCACTTCACTGCACGTTTACTGCAATCACAGAGATATAAAAATTATTTTTACATCTCCCTGCTGCAATTTAAGTCATTACAGAAAAATATCGCAATAGCCTAGGTCGGGGGAGGTTAAACGAATACCCGGTTAAACTATAAAATAACCAAATTAAAGGCCTACAGTAATATTGATTGGAATTTAGCTTAGTTTATTTGCTATCAACGTATGATAAACCGATTGACGAACTTATAATGATAATTATGCTCCATGTTGTTTAAAAAAATATACCGCGACCGAAATGAATAGGCCTACCCAAATACAACGTTAAACATCTCTCTTAATTGACTAAGTGTTATTATTATATTATTAAGTTGACAGTAGGATGAACATTCGTTTCACTTACCTTTTCCTAAATCCTGTTCAATGATCTAACATTCAGCACAACTCTCTGAACCCACGTTGTGTCGTTGTTGTTTGTTTTGAAAAGCATGTGGCGGCCGCATCACTCTTTGGGCATCGGCCTAAAACACTACGCCATTAAAGTGGAA